AAAATATAAATCACCTTCAATTATTATCAAAATGGAATTAGCAATAAAAAATACATAGTTGCAAAAGCATGATCATGTTAATTATTAATCCAATAAACACTAGCTGATCACTACTTTGGAAAGCTGGTGCATTGCTAAAGCTCCCTCAGATCCACTTTTAGCTGGAGCAGGTCAGGGCTCATTTGAGCAGCTGAGCTGACAGATGTGACAAGGGGCAAATATCTGGGAAGGAGGAGAGTGGGGACAAAAACTGCAGTCAGAAGTGAATTTATGAACAAGTTCTGAATGAAATGAAACAGAAAATAGAAGATTTTTTAACCATTTTTACCATTTTAAGTTAAAATTTTACCATGACAAAAAAGGACACTAGTTTTCAAAGGTGCTTATTGCTGCACTGACACCCATACACAGAGTGGTCACTATAAAGAAAACTTGGCTGTTTAGGATCTGGGCGTCAGGTAACACTGATGTGGGGAACCAGAGCTCTGCCAGGATGGGCAGTGTCTGTCTGGGAGGCAGTGGGAGTCCCTGTGCCCAAGCTCCTTGCAGCATCATTTACATCTGGATTGTGAGTGACTACCCAGACAATTCTTCTGCTCACATTTCACAATCCAGCTGGCCCTTGATCCAGAGTAGCTGGATGCAAAGAGCATTGCCCTCAAGGAGTCCTGATAATATTTAGATACAGACTAAGCCCTTAAATTTGCATTTTTTTTGGTGTGTATTAGATGATATTACCAGCAGAATCTATCCTAATTACATGATACTGCATTTTAATTAAAGATATACAAATGCAAATTTTAAATGAAATTAACAATTATATAATAATTACTATCCATCAGGAAAATGTACTATTCTATTTTGTTATCTGAAAAGTATTAAAAATGAAAAGCTATGAAGCCTTGCAGGGTAGAAATACCACAACTGCATTTTTAATTAATTCAGAGTTCTTATTCCTTAGCTCACTCAAAGAAAATCAAACACTGTTTTTATAGCTTAATAAACTATGTATTTTTCTAATTTAGAGGGTTTAATGCCAATTTATTATTCAGATCCCAAGTCCCTTTGCAACATATTAATCTTAAAGGATCTCCAGAGTACAGGACCATCATGGAAATACTTCCATGGCATCATCAACAAAGGACAGTCATCAGTGACTGAAGGCCACATGCCAAACTCTAATGTGTTCAGTTCTCTGCAATTTTATCACTAAGATAAAGTGGAATTCAGACCAGCTATATATTAGAAGGGATATTTCTTGAAAAACGAAAACAGAAAATGACTCTTTTTAAGTACAAGAAGCATGTAGTCTGTAATAACACTGTTAATAGATCCCTTTCTGAATGAGAAAGCACATAATGTGTACATTCGAGTATTTTCAAGAGGATGCAGCACACTAAATTAAATAGGAAGATGCCATGTAATCAGTAAATGAACATGTAAGACTAATTATTACAGAGGATATACATGAAGAGGATAATTAGTAATGTGAGTCCCAGCACAACTAAGACACTTGTTTATTCAAAATATTTTAAATTGTATGCTCAGTAATGAACATTTAAAATGAAACCACTTCCTTATTTACATTGTCCCTGGATTCCAGTGAGATGTGGTATGTGAAGGCAAAATATGGCCTTCAACAGACATCCTGACAGCAAGAAAATCCTCTGAGGATGAAATAGATGGCTCTCTACAGCACCTCTGGACTTTATCAATATTAGTGAACAGTTAATTAATGTTTTTCATACTTTGGCAAGAAAATACATGACAAAATACAAAAGAGAAAAAATCAGCATGCAGTTTTGAGCTTTCTAATCTTTTCTGTAATTCCCTTAAAGGACAGGAGCACACCTTTGGTGCATGTTACAGCAGGAAGAGTGGAGGAGACAATGGCCAGTCATAACACAGCTCTTGACTCTGCTGTGGTAGTTACAGCAAGAGCTTTGTGATTAGGAAGTCTTGCATAAATCCTCTTCTGTGCTTGATTTAGTGCTTCAGTAATATTTGTAATTTGTCCCTTCTGTGCTTGTCTGAGGCTGCAGCTGGACCTACAGTACATTCTCAGTTTTGCACAGTTTAGCACCAGCAAAGGACCAGAACTGGTCCTTCCTTTGCTTCCCTCTCTGCTCCCAGTCACACAAGGGAAGCCACTTGCATCAGGCTCTGTTCTGCTTTCTGATGTTTAAAGCAGCCCACACCTACTCTCTACAGAAAACTGCTTAGAGGCTTTTCAAAAATGAACTTACTGAAGATATAAGCCTAATTTACATACAATTTGTACTACACTGAATTTCTCTCCCATTCTTATCTTCCATTACCTTGGATAGCTCAGAGATGACTAAGTAGTTCTACTGACAAGTCTATTAAATGTTTTGAACTTTTGTTATAAATAGGGTTCTTTTGCACTGTGAAAAAAAGGCTGAGATGCCGTTTGTAATGCTTTTGGTCTGATGGGTAGCACTTTCCTTGAACAATCTTCACCATCTACAATCCCCAACAAACAGATAAGTCACAAGAGAAAGCTGGTATTTAAATTTAACATCTTTCCTAATAATCCACTATATATTATGGGCATAGTTTAGAAAGAAGCATGTAACTATTCATCAGGGAAATGTATTGTGCTATGGATATATATGGAAAATTCCAAATAGCAAGGATTAACCTGATGGTATGAGCAAAGTCATGACACCTCAAATATTATACTCTATATTTTACATACAGTGTGTCTTGTCAGGGAAAAGACATAACCTGTGCTTCTTTTACCATTTATACCAAGTTATCACCATTAAAGAGTACAAGCCCTCTGGATACAAATGCAAGAAAGTGGGAAGTGAAACTCAAAATCAGTGGGGTAACTCATTAGCAAGTTAGTAGTCCATGCTGTATGTTCCTTTGGCTACTACTTTCAGTAACACTATAGAGCATTACAGGCTATCACAAAGAAATACAAAGTTACTATTCAACAAAGATTGATGAACAGATTTTTAGAAAGTTAAATCATAACACCAAGTCTTGAGTAAAGTGTACTTGAGAGACCAAATAGATAAAGATTTTGTCTGTGCTGGTTATTTTAAGCAATAGCATGAAGATGTAGAGAAAGAAGCAAGTTAGACATCAAAAATACTTCAACTAAAGACAATGCTGGGAATACTTGGTCCATTTAGGAGTGCAAACAAAGCTACTTCTGAAATATTGCTCATCTCACAAGATAATGAGCAACACAGTATTATAGGACAGATGTAACGACCAAGCCTTTTCTTACCTTTTATGTACAGTCAATAGCACCACGTTTCTACTGTTCAGATTAATCAGGCATTTATAATTTCATCAAAAAATAATGCTTGCCCTTACACTTCTAAGTCTTCATAACACATATTCTGTGTTATACTCTTCTACTGAAAGTTCAGTTCCTTGTTTTGGAAATCCAACCCATGCAAATTAAAGTGAAAGCAAATTCTTCATGCTCCTTTGCAATCCACTACCCCTAGTGGGCAAACACTCATCTCCTTGGTCATACTGACTCAGTCCATACAACACCTGGCTACCAACCTGATGATCAGACTAGCAACCAGAATAGATTTGTCAGATTCATTTCAATTTGCACCAAGAATATTGTGACAGTAAATGAACAATACTTATACAGCAGCAATAACCAATGTAACAGCAATAGTTATACACAGGAGAACATGCATAAGAACAATCATACACCCAGACATCTGCAGCTACAGGATATTTAATAAACCTTCCCAAATTACTGACAGTAATGGTGGTGGCAGAAATAAAAAAGAAGGAAAAGCCTTACACCTACCTCCATACTTGCTGGGACGTAGATTCCTATGCTCCCAAAGAACTCACCACTGTTACAATATTCTGGGAAGAGGTGGCAGTCTTGTGAGCTCAGGTGATCTGGAACATTAATAAAACAGTTCAAGGTTAGATTTTATATGCCATATTTCAAACTGCTGAATTATTCTTTGCATGTAACATCCAACTTTGAAGATATTAGTATTTTAGACAGTGCCTCTTCAAATTTCCATGGTTTTGAAGTTAAAAAATGTTTTTTTCAAAAACACCACACCAATACTAAAAATGTTTGTTGGTGGTTTTTTTTAAATCTGTGTAATCTTAGAATAACCATATTCTTCTGCAATAACTGTTGGCTTAAGGAGTATTCAAACAGCTTTTTCTGCATTTTAATTACATTAAGATTTTCAAAGAAAACTTAATAGTAAAGGCTGGATGTTTTTCAGTATTAAAGGGAATCCAATTCTGTTTTAATGCATATGACTAGTATGCCGGTTTATCATTTACACAGCTATAAGATAACAAGTATTATACATACAGTGTGATGTATGTATAACAAGTATGATACATTCAGTATATATATACATTGGTTAGATATGGACAGTAATTATACCCAGGAAAGCAAAAGCTTCAACTTTCAATCAACCCAAGCCAATAAAACCTATAATCATAGATTCTAGGAAGAAGCAGCTCAGCATGTTTTATTACAAAAATAATATACCAAGCCCTTGGAACTCTATTTCCTTTTTTTAAATAAGGAAACATAACAGAGTCCTGGTGCGCTGAGTAGTGCAAACTACTGAACATTTAAAGGAAACCAGACAATATGTAAACAAGCAGATGCTCTTAGCATAGCTTGGCAAGGCTGCCTAATGTGCATGATCTAGAAAGCCACTGTTGAAATACAATTAATTTTTCCACTACAAATATGACATGAGGAAACTTCCTTACACTAGAGAATTAATGAAAACATCAGCATAATTGACATAATTTCTGCTGAAGGGAAACCTTTACTTGATTTGAACAATAGGTCACAACTTTTGTGAGGAAACCCATGTAAAGATCTGGAAAAGATTTCAAATCTGATTTACAAAATCTTTTGAACAATTATGTTAACGTCTTTCTTCACCATCTCAGCAATATTAACAATGTCATGAACTGAAAAAAGTAACTTAAGTTTTTATTTTTATTTCAAGGTGAATGAAGCCGACTTTGTGTAAACATCTGACAGTTTTACGCAAGCCCCATATCTGTGTTAACAAGACTACAAAGGAGAGAGCACCCTTAGATGCTTTACCCACTCAGTCTGCTGCCACTCCAGCGGGAGTGACCTTGGAAATCATCAGCACTCACCAGAACAGCAGAGACAGCCCCTGCTGCAAACTACACTGGAGGTATAAACAAAATGGTATAAAAAATTCTGTTTTTACAGAAGGAAAGGAATCTGGGGGTTGAGGCTCTGGGTTACCTCTGCAGTGAAAGCAGTCTGCATGTGAGTGGAGATGTGCTGCACAGAGACAAAGAAGCTTTACTTATGCTTTTACTTAATTGGTAGCAGCTGTAATTTGCAACTGTTCTTAACTGGAGGGAAGAATATGGGGAAGAGAGGTAATTTCTTATCAGAAGCCAATTCTGATCCTGTAACCAGCTTACGTAATACTGCAGCAAGTACCTGGGAAGCCCTGGAGAAAGACTGATGAATGATACCATGAGAATCCTGAAAGAACAAATACTGACACAATCCATACTGAAAGACATATTGATTGCACAGAATACAAATCAATAAATATGAGCCAGAGATTAAGGGAATAAAATGAGATACTAACAATCTAGAATAGAATTGTATGAATTAGGAGTAGCTGGAGGTTCACTGTAATTGATTCTCAAGTTGACACAATTGCTAGGGAGGTGTCTTTACTTTTCAAAGAGTAACCTGAAGGTTGTGTAAACCCTCCTTCTGTAGCACCACTGTCCATGTACTGCTACTTTTATTATTAAGAGCTCTGTGAACTGTAGTAAGATTTTTCTGTAGGCCATGTAACTTGAGACCGTAGCCCACTAAAGTTCTCTTGACATATCAATTACTCTGATTTCACTTTTAGAACTTTTATGAGACACTAATATCCAATAAGATCTCTTTCCTAGAATAAGGCAATGAATTCTTTGTCAAATACCATAATGAGGGCATTAATAAATATGATTTGCTTTAAAGAATTTTATAAAGAAGTGCATTATCCAAACAGCTAACTGACAGAGAGAAGGTAGAGAACATTAAAGGATCTAAATAGCGAAGCCAACATAAATTTGTACAGTAATAAAAAAAAACAATGGTGAAACAGTGACTTAATGTGACACAGAGATTAAAAGGAATCTTGTAATCTCAAATATATTTCTGAAAAATGCAAAACATTCTGCCATTTTCCAGAGCAGATAGAAGTTTGTATCAGTTTCTAGAGCAATGTTTGAATCATGGCATAAATTGCATGTGAAGTGCAAGATGGTTACAAGACTTACAGGAGTAAAATGCTAATATAAAATATAACTCATTTGTTTTACTAACCATGCAAGTATATGACAAATTATCATATTTACTAGGTCTCCTAGCATAAACACATAGAATACTGATTGATGTGCTCGGTTTACAGAGATTTATTAAGATAATTCTGACTGGCTGGACACAGTATATGAATTAATTTGCAGTTTATACTTTCTTCACCTTCTCATGGTTTTTTTGCTGCCCAGATTAATTTTGTTTTGTTTGTGAATCCATCTCATGCATGCTTTATACTGAACCAATACACCAGAATTGCTTTACTGAATTATGGTGCTATTTCAATAACTGCTACATTCTGTTGATGATCTCAGTTCACATTCATTCTGCCTTAATACAGGCTATATTTTACTGATAGTTAAAATAAACATGCTTTCTATAGAACACTTGAAAGGATACTTTTGGAATATAAAGCACCTCTCTTTAAAAAGACTGTTACCCTGTTCTTAATTAAATCTGTTCCATTTTATTAATTTCCAGATTAACTGTTGAAAAAAGTATTGTATTGAAAAAACGTTCCAATGACAAACTTTTGGACAACAATAAATGAAACTAGAACTCCAGCTGAGTCAAAGACATAGGGAAAGCCATTATGACATATGTATATATGGTGATGCAACATTGTAAATCCAGCTGGTCACAGAACTGATTCCTTTCACACTGTACAGCATTAGAAGGGAGTGCCTCATGCTGTCTATAAGCCCCTGAACCTTAGCCTGAACACCAGCAAAATCTGGACAAGGTATTATGCCTTATGACAACTGAATGCAAGTTCCTTTGTGCTTATACAAATTTGAAGATACAATTTTAAAAAGGAGCAGTAATCTATACTCTCAGAGCTGTCCATGTTCAGACACTCAACAGAGAAATTTCTGTCAAGTGCAGTTGGGGCAAGAGTCCCCCTTTTGTTTTTGAATTCAAATGTGGGATAGAATAATAATCTTACTTTGCTCATTAAAATCTCTGCATTATCAGGTAAAGTAATGACAGAAAATTAAAATTTAAAGTCACAATAAGGTTGACAAGAAAAAACATGGTTTTAAAAATTAGAGAAGTAGTTCTCTATTTTTAAAGACAGATGAAGAGCTATATCAAAGAGACAGCTGGCAATCCTTGAGTCCATTGTGCTTATGCTTGTGCCAACAAATAGATTCAAGGGTAGAAAATACAGCCCCGTGTGCTCAGAGCCTTCAGGATGGTGTGGTGAGATTTATTGAACAATTTAAGGACAGGACTGCCCTGGGTGATGAATTGAAAAGAACAAAAGAAGATAATGAGCTGCTTTTGCTTGTTTCAGCAAAGCCATATTGATGTGTCCAGGCAAAAATCAATGAAAGAGTGACTGGGTGTTCTTGTCAGCAATAGACAAATACCTATCTGTTAGGGTAAAATTATTTCAATTCAATAATGCATAAAACCCACTTAATTTGACATACTTCCTTTTATCCTTTATCAGTGCCAATCAAAAGGGATTTTCAGAAAAAACTACTGTCTCCCCTCCACTGCTGCCACACAACAACATAACCTATGTTTCACTTATTTAGACATATTAATTTGTTTTCTGTAAGCTTAAGGATTCACAAATAGAATTCACTGATGGAAACAGATTATTTAGTGCAAGGGAAGTATACTTCTATAAATTCATAGTTCCAGGAAATTTGAATTGTCAAGAAAAACCACCCATCTAAAAAAGTAACCATAATTGATTTCAACATTTCTCCAAAATAAATTTGAGAAAATGTATTTTAAAACATTATTAACAGCTTACAAAAGGGTACTTGACTGCATATCAAAGGGAAAGATTAGAATATTTTTAACTGTTTTCTTTACAGCAGAAGGAAAGTTAATAAAAAAGATATCTGATACCATATTTGTAGCACACAGTTATGATTAAGAACTCATAAGGGTTCTGTATCTCAAGGAAAATAGGATTGCTAACCACAGAAATGTTGATTATGTAAGAAATACCTTGCCAGAATGTGCAGACAGTTGTTTTGATTTTAATAATTCACATGGCTGCTAACTCCTGCCCCTTTTTTTCATCTGAGGGTTTCAGTCACTAGCATGAAAGAGCAACTCAGCAGTGTTGACTTCCTTCTCTTAAGAAAAGTGTGCTCTTGATGAGTAGTGCAGTAAGCTCCAGAGATAAGGGATGGGGGTCAACACTGGACATGAAGAGTTCAGCACTCAGTATGAGAAAGTGCAGTTAGAAATCCAATAGTCCATAAGAGACTAGAGATAACTGAACAAATGCCCTACTGTTTGTTCCGGATCCAGAAGAGAGATTCATTTAGGGTTAAGACTTCCACTCCTATCTAGGGGAGGTGTGCCCTACTGTGAGAAATCATTTCAGGGTTGACTAATGGACTGAATCAGGGAAATCTCCTGAAGTAACATAATACTGTTACCCTCAATCAATAAGCACTCACAGTTGTAATAGATTTTTTTTCTTTTTTAAATGAAATCTTAGTTTTTGCCTTATAGTTAACCAGGTATGTTACTAAGAAAGATGTCTCTGAAAGGGCAGCTGTATCACTACAGTGCTGATGCACACTTCAAGAGGCAGCAAAACAAACCAAAAAGGAAAAAACCAAGCCTGTGGAAGAGCAGAAGTCACTCATTGTTAAGAGCACAACTTCTATTCATTAAGGTGGGATCCTGCATTTCGTATAGATGTAATATTTCCAATTAATTCTTCCTAATGAACCATTCCTAATGATTCCTAATCAATCTGAATTTTGCTTTTGGAAAGCTGAGAAAATAGTCTGAGTACAAGAAAAACTGCTCACTTCTCAATCAAAATGTATGCACCAATTTCATAATCATTTCTTTCTCATTCAGAATTCCAGCAGACCTTCAAACTATTCTGAATGAGTCATGGCTCAGTCTGTTACACAGAGGTGCCCTGAAGCCTCTTCATGCCTTCCAGACTATGTAGGCAACTTCTGCTGCTCTTAGCAAATGCTCTGTGACTGCATTTCCACTCTTTTGAAAACCTCCAGCTCTTTGAGTGACTGGTAGCTGGTTCTTTTGCACAGCTACATAATCCAGTACAGCAGAAACTTTGCTAGTCTTGCATTTCTGTATTCCCACTGGCAAGTCTGTGGATCAGGACAAACTGCAGGGATCCCATTCATTCCTCACTTATGCATGAGTGCTAACTAGACAAACACTGGCACAATCGCATCTGGTAATGATGGAGGAAGACAGGCAGTATTTAATCCATCATTCATATTCTTCTTAAATGAGATGACACATAAAACTCATTAATTAGGCAGAAGTGTTCCAATTCATTCAGCTGCATTTTTGCTCTAAGACACGAAAGGACAAAATCACATTTTGAATGATGAATTTAAATATTCTAAATCCAGTTAGTTCATTGCACACACATGAAATATAAAACTAATCCCTAGCAGGACACTGTGCTGGATGTGTGGAACACAAGTCCCAACACTGCCAGTTTCACCACAGTGCCTATTCAGTGTTACGGAATGCTACAGACCAGCCTGCTGAAGTTCCTTTACTCCCAGTGAGGAGTGCACAGAGCAGTGGGAAAACAACAGGGGACAGCAGCACAGAACACACTAAGTCTTTCTATTTCTGTTTTATCACCCATGATCATATTATATAACAAGAGATTGTATCAACAAAAGATTTGATAGATGTAAAATGCTACTGTAATTACTGATGCTTTAAACATTTTAGATGATTGGTTCATCCTTAAATTTCAAAGCAGTGAAAGGAAAGCCAGATAAGAAGAAAGACTTTTTTCCTATCAGCTTTTAAAAAGATGAGTCAAATCTTAGATTGATTTTGAAGGTTCTTGTTTTTTCACAGCATATA